CTGAAAATCAGGGTTAAGTTCAAAACCAAAGGAAGCAGCCACTTCTTTGAAGGCATCCAGAATCAGAGCATCGCGCATCAACATTATCATTTTTGACCCAAGAGAAGGAAGTTGTATGTATCCAGGATTTTAAATTGACTTAACACTGTTTTTGTTTACAAAGTTATGCACTTCTCGCCTTTCATTTCTATCTCCAATGAAGAGGTTCGGTAGGTTGTTTTTATTTATTTTATTTTTTGGTATGTTTATTACAGTACAACATCTGCAACTCTTAGAATAAAGTAAACGCAGGCACTTTCTCCCTTACCAAACATAGAAGAGACTTATATGAAGTTGGATTAAAATTAGGGAATTCGGAGAATGGAAAAAGCTGGGAAGCAAGCAAGTAATTAAATGTCAACTCTCTTGTGACTGATTTTCCCTCCCTTCCCCCCCCCCCCCCCCCCCCCCCCCCCAAAAAAAAATAAGATTAAACTTAAGATATAGGTAAATAAAGGTTAAGGAGCAAGTTCCAATCTCTTAGCAATTCTAATGGAGAGAACCTTAAGGATTCACTCATGTCAAATAATCCCCTGGGACAAAAAGGTGGGGTCACTAAAAATTCCACTTGTTTTTGAGAGATTTTCAGAGAGGTTCTTGTGATTTCCAACTCAAAATTGCAAGAAATTGTTGTTTTATTGATTTATTTTGCTATTAAGTTTCCCTTGTTGGTGGAATAGTTAGGAAGGCCTTCAGAAACTATTTTAAAAAAAGATAGTGGGAAGAAGACAAAGTTGCAAACCCCAAAAAATAGGAAATCGAATTACTCTATTACAACATGCTAAAATAAATTATCAGGAGTGCCCGCATACAGCGGTGGAATTCAAATAATTTAACAACCGGTTCTCTGCCCTAATTATTCCTTCCAACAACCAGTTCGCCAAACTGCTCAGAAACTTAACAACCGGTTCTCCCAAAGTGGTGCGAACTGGCTGAATCCCACCACTACCCGCATGCATTCATGCACACATGCGTACAACTCAGTACTCCACAGTTCCTAGATCTCATTGTCAAAACACACTTCCAGTCCTATACCCATCTTTCCATACTACGCCTCATCACAAATGGCAATTAAACATCACATAAACACTAATGAATTCATTCCCAGCGCAACACAAACACTGAGAAAGATTATAAGATTCTCTTCAGGGGATCTTAGAAGCTTCCTGTGATTCATTGCATCTCATGTAACTGGGTACTAACCCCGGAAAGATAACAGATAACAGCTAATCAGAGTTGGAAGGGACCTTGTAGGTCATCTAGTCCAACCCACTGCCCAAGCGGGAGACCCTACACCATTTCTGACAAATGGCAGTCCAATCTCTTCTTGAAAGTCTCAAGTGATGGCATTCCCACAACTTCCGAGGGCAAGCTGTTCCATTGGTTGATTGTTCTCACTATCAGAAAGTTTCTCCTTATTTCCAGGTTAAATCTCTCCTTGTTCAGTTTCCATCCATTATTCCTTTTCTGGCCTACAGGCGCTTTAGAAAATAGCTTGACCCCTTCCTCTCTGTGGCAGCACCTCAAATATTGGAACACTGCTATCATGTCTCCCCTGGTTTTTCTCTTCACTAGACTATCCATGCCAGTTCCTGTAACTGTTCTTCATATGTTTTAGTCTCCAGTCCCCTAATCATCCTGGTTGCTCTTCTCCCTTTCTCCCCCCACCAGGGAAAAAAAGGGTTAACGATGCTTAGATGGTTTTTAGTACTGAAGAAGGACCATGCTGATTCCCATTCCTACTAGATACATTATGGATGAAGAATTTTCTTCTACCACCTTGTTGTCGGAATCAGATTACCCAGTTAATCTTTCCACCAACCTTACAGGTTGACCATTCTGATCTTCCATCATATGGGCACATCCTTAGAATAATTCAGGCAAAGGATCTGACATCTAATTCCTCTGGACTGCAGTGAGGGTCAAGGGGAGGCAGGATCACCACCAGAGATAATGAAAAACTGCCTCTCTGAGGCCTCTCCATCCATCAGCTATCAACGTGTCCATTAGGCATGTCCTTCTATCGGCTCAGAGTGTAGTAAATTTGGGTTCTTGCTCTGCTAGAACCATTTTTATTCCAGTTGACCAGGGTAAGTGTTTTGTAAATAATTGATGTAATTATTCAGAACTTTCAGTTCCTCAATATCTTCTCCATTTTGTGTTTTGTCTTGTAGTTTGTAAGGCCTTTATTTTTTAAGATACTCTAAAGAGACTTTGATGAAAGGAAGAAGAAACAGGAGAGGGTGGGGGGACAAAATAGATTTGAAGATACTATCCCTCATTTAAGTTGAGGGTTGAGATGTTGAGACTCTGGAAAGAGTGCAGAGAAGAGCAACCAAGATGATTAGGGGACTGGAGACTAAAACATATAAAGAACGGTTGCTGGAATTGAGTATGTCTAGTTTAATGAAAAGAAGGACTAGGGGTGACATTATAGCAGTGTTCCAATATCTCAGGGGCTGCCACAAAGAAGAGGGAGTCAAGCTATTCTCCAAAGCACCTGAGGGTAGGACAAGAAACTAACCAAGGAGAGAAGCAGCTTAGAACTAAGAAATTTCCTGACAGAATGGTTAATTAATGGAACAATGTGCCTCCACAAGTTGTGAATGCTCCAACACTGGAAGTTTTTAAGAAGAAATTGGACAACCATTTGTCTGAAATGATATATAAGGTTTTCTGTCTGAGCTGGGGGTAGGACTAGAAGACCTCCAAGGTTGCTTCCAACTCTTCTCTTCTACCTCTCCCACATCCTTGGGAAGGAGTCGCTAGGTAGACAAAATGCCAAATCCAGTCCGAACACCTGGAAGTCCTTTCTCCTCCCCAAGGTTGTCATTTCCTCAGGCAATTGGTGGCATCTCTGCATCTACATGTAACATTATATTGCATCTACTACTACACCCTTAGCCTCTTTCTTGCTGAGATGGTTCATCCCTTGAAGTGGGAACAATCTGAAACTATCTGAGGATAAAGACTGACTTATGAGCAGCAGTAAGCTGAAGTGCGAGGACACTACAAAAAAGAGAGAGAGAGAATCCCGCTGGGGCACTTAGAAATATCTACTTACTATTCCAGATTGCAAGCAGTTCCTGGGAAATACGGTTTTCCCTAGAATACTTCTCAGAGGCTACATAAAACCCAGTCATAGCTGAATGCCACGTATTGACAAGCAGAGAAGTCATGCTTTTGTTTGTTTCCCATAAAACCCCAATCATTTATGTGAGAGAAGAGGGTTTGTAGACTTGGTACGACTATAACTGCCTTGCATTGATATGTGAGTTCTAGAAGGCTTTGGGACTTGTGGTCGTTCAAGCCATTAAGTGAAAATCTTGGTGGACTCATCTTTCAGGTGCACAGAAATGCAGAGGCAGATGTAAGACATTAAAGTTAGATCAACTGATCAGGATAGTAAACTTTTTCAGCAGACAAACCCAAGCTTTTATTCTCACTCTGGCAGCCAAACATCCAAGGAGAAGATAATAGTGTTATTATTTTGTTTATTCTACCCTTCTTATAGATTCAGACTTCAGCACGCTATAGTTTATGGTGCATCCATTAAGAACAATACAACCAATCCATAAAGTAAATTGAAACCACCCACTGCTCTACCAGCATCTAGTATTAGCAAGTCTCTGAATTAAAGCCCAGTAAATTAGCTCAGTCTTCATCATTTTCTCGCTTACTGTAAGAAGCTCCAGAAATAAAACTATTGAATTGAATTCCAGGATGAAGTGCTATTGACAATCTTGTTTCCTGCCCTCCAAATCTCACTTATGGGATACTCTCAACATATCTACTCAGATATTTACAGACTAGACAGCTGGTTCTACATGAAGGAGAAAGTCTTCATGTACCTAGGTGCTAGTCATTGAAAGGAGGGTTTTTGGAGCATTTTTCCTACATTGATTGAGAGCATTTTAACAAACTGCATCACTGTTTGGTTTGGTAGCAGCAGTGCCTCAGATAGAAAGTCCATACAGAGAGTGGTAAGGACAGCTGAGAAGATCACAGGAAGCTCACTTCCCATCATTCAGGAAGCTGCTTACAAGCGCTATGTGTTTAGAGCTCAAAGCATTGTTAAAGACCCCCCACACCCACTTCTTGGTCTGTTTCTGTTGCTCCCCTCTGGGAGGAGGTTTCAAAGTATTTCTAGCAGGACTACCAGATTCTGTAACAGCTTCATTCCCTATGCCATCCATCTGGTAACCTCGCAAGATTCTTTTTTCTCGCCATATACATACATACATCCGAACTAAACTGTGTTGTTTCTCTGCGTCGTATAATATATGTGGGTATATGCATAATTTTGTATTCATTTATTTTGTCATGTTTATAATGGAGGTGGTGACCCTTTGAGAGCTGTATGCAATGAAATTTCATTTTAATGTATGCCGATTAGTGTACATTCAAAGTGACAATAAAGTTATTCTAAGTCTAAGGTCCCCAACTCTTCATTTTTTAAACTACTAAATCTATTTGAGTCTTGTGATGCTTCCTGTGTTTCTCATCATAAAAGTGGCATAAAGTAATGTCACCGTTTATTGGTAATAATATAATGCTGCAGTCATGGGGTGAACTCTAAGGGCTACAAAAAAGTAAGCCCCTAGTCTAGAAAATAGGTTGCCCATCTCTGCCGTTGGGGATCCTACTTCTTGACACGACAGCTGTTCTAGACCAATTGAAGACTGATATTAAGATTTGCTGAAAGTCGAGAACAGAAAGTACAACGCAAACCACTTTGAGACTTTTTTTAAAAAAGGAATGGGAAGAAGAATACCAATGTTTTATAATAAACTACAATATGTGGCACTGATTAATAATTGGTTTGGGAAACAACTGATTCTACTGAAAAGAGCTGCTTAACACTGTAATAATAAAAAGAAAACAATCAGAAAGAGGGTTCAAGGAAGGTTAGTACTAAAACATTCAAAGTTCTAGTTATTCAAAGCTAATAGTCTACTTACCGCCTCCACCTCTGCTGGGTCATACCAGACATTGATGTATGGATGCTGTAAGGCTTCATCCACTGATATCCGTTTGGCTGGATCAATCACTAGCATCTTTGATAAAAGGTCCCTAGCTTGGCTAGCTGGAGCAATGAAAACAGAAAATGCATCAGTATGGGAAAGAAAGGAATGGAGATATGACTTACAATGCCATATTCAGTGTAGTTAGATCAATGCATCTAGACTCTAGGTTCCAGACAGTTTTATGTGGCTTCAATACATATATTGAAGATGTTCTGCAGAACTCACCTTTGCTAGAGAACAAGAAAATTAATAGATGGTTCCATTAGATCTTTTTGGAAGCCAGAAATAGCAATTTTAAGATGAAGCTGTTTATAAAATTAATGTTTTAGAATATCTGATTTAGGAACAAAGGTCATTGTCCCCCTTTTTCTATTTCCTATTTTGTTTAGTTCCTTTTTTTTCTACATCACTTTGGGATTTTTATTTTTTAATAGTTGTATACAATATACGTGCATTTGTATACAGTGCTGTCTAATACACATTTTCCTTAATGCAGTTTGCATACTCTTTTAACTAAAATATGCAGGTTTATCTGTGTGTGTGAATGTGTGTGTGCCTATTTATCACATTTATATAGCTGTCTGTCTCACCGCAAGTGACTCTGGGTAGCATATAAGAAAGCTGGAACAATAAATATCTAAAATAATTAATTATTATTTATATAACATTACACACACACACGCACACACATTCAGGAGTGCTATTCCCAAATTTTCCTGATGGGTCCATTAGTTCAGATTTCAAAATAGTTCAGATGTGCTGAGAAAGAACTAACAGATCTAGGTAAATTGGTTTACCATTTACCATTAGATAGGTAAGCAGCCTTCATGCAGTCCAAGTATTGTAAATTGTTCTGACCTTTTGCTGCTCTAAAATTTAGATTGCAATGCATGAGAAGAATTACACAATTGTAAGGAACGTGGGAATTCCTGCTTAGGCTAACCTGCATGGGATAGGTAGTATCATTTACCAACCCCGAACCTGATTGAGTCTTACAAAGATTTAAGTATTCGTTGGAATAGTTTTCTGAATGATACTTTTCTTTATTGTTCCTGGATCGTATCGTTATCAGAGATGGAGCTTTTTTTTTTTACACTAGATGAAGAATTCATGCACATAAAAATATATCTACAAGTTTAATTCAGGAAGGCAACAAAAGAAGAAAAAAACATCTTTTTATGCTTTAAATCGCCTGTTAAATCCCCCCTCCTTTTTTGTGTGTGTGTTTCACCACAGGAGTGAAGTTGGATGAGGAAGGAATCAAGAGGGAAATAAATATATGTGTAAATAAATGACATGCAAATTGTAGCGGATTAACAAACATTCTGTATTGCCACAGCAGGCAGCCTTAGGAATCTATGCCTTCAAAATTGATATGCATTTTAAGCTGGTAGATCCCAGAGCTGTAAATAAAAACATTTCCCATCAATCTGCATTTTCTTAGGAAGTTTATTTTCCAAATCAACGGGTTTCATTTACATTTAAATCATCTCTATTCAAATCTCTGCAGACAATGGCTACATCTCATCTGGCACTGTGGTTATCAAGGTGGTTTGCAATTACTGATATTTCAAACCTGCCGAAAGTGAAGGTGGCACACCTTCTACTAACCAAGATTCAATTCAAGCTCATTTGAACTATTGGCCTTCACAATTTCTACCAAAGTTTCATACCGAATTTATTCAGAGTCATGCAAGTTACAGCTTAGGCCTATAAGGGGCCTCTCAACAATTAAACCTTTCCAAATAGCTAACACGAACTGATTATTATGTGTTTGTGTGTGTGTATATATATACCAGATGGGGATAAAATAGTAGATGATGAACACATATATTCATGTAGCAATTATATTTCCATGGACATTCTCACCACTCATTTAAATTTATCTACAACATTTCAGCGTATAGCCTGGTTTTAAATCAAGCCTGTAGCCAGTGACATTTGATAACACAATGATGACCCTATTCTGGTGACAGGAATGTAAAAATAAGAAAGAAATTATGGCCGGCAGCACCAAGTATGCATGTATATGTATGAGTCTCTGTGTGTGCATAATCCCTGCCTTGTAGATACACTAACCTATATATCACCAAAAGGGATGGGAGGAGACTAGAAAAAGATAATCTGTCATAATTGTTGACTGATGCTATTATCGCATCCTGGAACATCAAAAAAAATCAAGATGAAGCCACAATTGTGCAAAGAACGTCCCTTTAAATAAGTACCACATACAAGGCATGTAAAAAAAGGGCAGGAACAGAGGTGGTATTCAGCCGGTTCGGACCGGTTCTGGCGTACCGGTAGCAGAAAGTTTGAGCAGTTTGGAGAACTGGCAAATACCACCTCTGACTGGGCCCAACCACCTGCCCCCTGTCCTATATTCAGGGGTGGGATTCTACCATTCAGACCCGTTCTAAAGAACCGGTGGTTATGATTGTGCGCAGTTCAGAGAACCAGCAAATCGTGCCCTTGGCTGGCTCTACCCCTCTCTGTTCACCCCTCTCCTCCCCGCCCAGTCAGTCCTTATCGCACATGTGCAACATTGCGTGCATGCCCAACATGACTGACTGCATTCCTCCCCGCCTAGTCAATCTTTAAAGTATTTCTTTTTTTCCCACTCCCAATGATCAGCTGTTCTTATGATCAGCTATGCTGCTTACTTACTGCTTCACCCAGGAGGCTTCCCTGAAGCCCAGGAAGGAAAAAATGGAGGAGGGACGCAGCACCACCACCCCTCCATTTTTTTCCCTTCCTGAGCTCCAGGGAAACTTTCTGGGAGCAAAAACACCCCCCCAGGAGGCTCCCCTGAGGCGCAGGAGGCCTCAAAACGGAGCACAGGGGGTGCTGCATACCCCCCAATGCTCAGTTTGTTTTACTTCCTGAGGCCCTGGGAGCAAAAATGGAGGCTCCCCTGAGGCGCAGGAGGCCCCAAAACGGAGCATGGGAGAGTGCTGCGTGCCCCCCCTGGCTCTATTTTTTTTTCCTTCCTGGGCCCCAGGGAAGACTTCCGGGAGCAAAAATGCCCTCCCCCCTCAGGAGGCTGCCTTGAGGACCAGGAGGCCCAAAAAACAGTGGGGGTGCTGCAAAAAAAAGAAGAAGCCACGCCCACCCAGTCACATGGCCACACCCTCAGAACCGGTTGTTACAAAATTTGAATCCCACCCCTGCCTATATTCCCTTGTTTTTTAGCTCAGCTGATTCACGCGGCAGAGCAGATTGCTGCGCCTCAGCTGAACTAAAAAGCAGCTCATCTCACTAGCGCTGAAACAGAGGGCGGTTTTTGAGTGCTGCCTGCGCGAAGCGCGCTCTCATAGAACCGGTAGGAAAAAATGTAGAATCCTACCACTGGGCAGGAAGGCTTTGATAGCACAGTTATGGTCCCCACTTGACTTTTTAAAAAAACCTATCTCACCTCCACCTTGCATCACCGCTTTAGCATTTTCAAATATGATATGTAAAACACCATTTTGATCAGAGGTCCCCAATCTTTGCTGGTTTTGGAATTCTGGGAGTTGAAGTCTGCCAGGCTTAAAATTGCCAAGGTTGGAGACCCCTGATTTAGATCATTTGGGGTACATCAGTATACAGGTAGTCCTCGACTTATAGCCATTCATTTCATGACCCTGCGAAGTTACAACAGCACTGAAAAAAGTGACTTATATGATTGGCTTTCACTCTTACAACCACTGCAATGTCCCCGTGGTCATGTGATCAAAATTCAAATGCTTGGTAAGTGGTGCATATTTATGAGGCTTATACAGAGTCATGTGATCACCTTTTGCAACCTTCTGACAATAGGGAGGCCAGATTCACTTAGCAACCATGCTACTAATTTAACAACTACAGTGATTCACATGTGGCAAGAAAGGTGATAAAATGGGGCCAAACTCCATTAACAACTGTCTTGTTAAGCACTTATGTATTTTAAAGAAGAAAAAACATGTATAAATAAAATTCCCAAAAAACCCCAACTGCTGCCTTGCTTAGTGACATAAAGTTTGGGCTCAATTGTGGTCATACGTCAAGGACTACCTATAAATATTTTTTAAAGGCTGATGTCATGCCACTGTTAGAGTCTGACTCCGAGGGAGAGATGGAACAGCTGACAGGGAGTGGGAGTGTGGCTCCGGTGGTTGTGGAGGAAACTGAGGAAGGGCACAGGCCGGTTGGGCATTCAGAGGAAGGCCCATCCCCTCTTCATCCTAGGCCATGCAGGGAGGAATGGATAAGGGAGAAACATGAGTGGCATGGTCTATGGGGGAGGAAGGGGCCCTGATCCCCTTCATGGGCTCCAGTTGGGAGGATTAAAAGGACCAACTGCGCATGGCAAAGTTGCTGGAAGCAAAGCGTGCATTCTTGTCGGAGCTTATCTATGTTTTGACTTCCTCTCAACTGTGGTTGCTGCATTATCTGGTAGAAGTCTGCAATTAATCATCCTTGCCTGCCGTAGTAATTCCTTCAGTGTGGTGTGTTGGGATTTTTATTTCAAATTAATTTTACTTTGGGTGTGGACTGCATTTACTCCCTCCGTAAACTGTTTTCTTTAAGAGTGTGATATCCTGCCGAGGATAATTGGACATTGGGGCCAAGTTGGAGGCATTAAAGGGACATTCTTCTATTTTTGTGACTTGGTTATTTTTTGTGCCACGCCCCGGGTCATCACAGCTGAAAAGAAAGGGAATGAAATTGTGTCAGTGACCCTTTCCTCAACATTGGTCTCAGCAGAAGTGGGATATGTATTTGGCAACGCTCCTCTGACACGAGGCAGGACACTTCGTAAAGCTTCATAGATCCACATCCAGTCAGTGACCAGAAGGGAGACGGTCTGGCTGATCCCATATATGTTGCCGTGGGTTTCACCCTGGTGAGAGTCTTGGATGTAAATGCAATAACTACATTTCTAATGCAAAGCTAGGCCCTCATTGACCTAGTTCAGGGATGTCAAACTCAATTTCATTAAGGGCCGCATCAGGGTTGTGTTTGACCTCAGGTGGGGGGATGGCCAAGATGGGGTGGCCAGCTTGACATCACTTGTGTTGGGGGTGTTTATGGAGGTCTGAGTGCTTTACCAGCAAAAACAGGCTCCCGAGTTCCATTTTTGGCTGCGACGGCCTCCTGCAACCCTCTGCCAGTGAAAACGGAGCTTGGGAGGGCCGTGTGTATGAAAGCTCAGTTTTCACTGATAGAGACACCGCAGGCCAGTCCTTCACTGTTTCCGGGGTGGCTTCATGAGCCAGATCTAAGCACCCTGTGCACCGGGCCTTGAGTTTGACACCCCTGTCCTAGTCCATGCATGCTTCGCGCATCTCCATTGTTCTTACCTTTGAGTTTGTTGTGTTCTGAATCAGCTGGAAAAAGAGAGTCTGGAAAAAGTTTAGGGAAAGTGAGGCCAGCATATTTAGGCCGGTTTTCCACGTAGTTCCTCACCGTGGGCTGGAGCTTTTTCATGAATTCTGGACAGGGAGTTCCCAGCTGTTCAATTACCTTATTCCACTGGTCAATATCTGAGCAGAGAGAGTTAAGGAAACAAGTGCTGCAGGATCCCACCCCACCCTCTTTCGCAACCCCCTCCGAGCTTTTCTCAGAATCTTGCTGTCTAAAGATAACAAACTAGATTCAGAAGTTATGAAATCTCTGCCAACCTTTGTGTTTCCTTTCCAGGGCAATATAATATCAGAGCAATATCACCCATACCGAAACAAGAGCAATGGCTTGGAAATTCAGCTCAGGTGACTCCCACTGATTTGGATGCAGATAGTCCTCACTCAACGACTGCCTCATTAAACAATGTTCAAGTTACGGCAGTGTAAAAGAAAACAGCTTGAGGGTGGGGGGCAACATTTCACATGTACCACTATTGCAGCATCCTGCGGTTATGTGAGTGCAATGGGTTTCCAACAAGTAGAGTTGATGGAGAATGCAGAAGTAAAATTGCAGATCGTGTTCATGTGATGTTTCACTTAATGATCGTGCTGGTTCGCCATGATCAAATGAGAAGTGATGTCATAAGTCAGTCATGCTTTCATGATTTCCTGCTGAGCAACCATACCAATTACCAGCAGAAATGCCAGTCTCAACTGTAGTCGCTAAGTGAGGATTACCTCTATAAGAAGGCAATCCAATTCATACCTTACCTTGGTGACTTAATTGATGACTGGATTATCCATACCAATCCGTTTCTGATTCTTACCACATAATCTATATGTATTGGATGACACAGATAGCTGAAGCATCTGAGATACTTTATATCAGTACCTGCAGCCAGATGGAACTTGAACACAAGATCCCCATAATTAAAATATCTGCATTTTACCAAGACTGATCCACAATAATGGGGTATAACTCTATTTAGATTTCTTTTTGTAGCAGTTCCCTAAACACCCATGTGTTTTTTCCCTACATTGATCAGTATTAATTGCTATCAGTAGTTGGACATGTTGTTAACCTGTTATTCCAGCAAGATACTTCTGTTTCATAGTAACAAAGGAAAACCCATCAAAGATATTGAGTCCACAGTAATTCAGTATGTCGGGAAAAAATGCATATATACCTTGGCATATTCATTAGCACTGGGTTTGGTTTTTGATCAGAACAAAATCCAAAGGAGTAAAAATATGAATACCTCTTTTTGCAAGACCTTAATCCAGAAGTAACTTTAAGCATCCTTCATAAGACAACTAGTATTATTAAACAGCATATGTTCTTTTAGGAAATATGCTGCTGAATAAATGGAAGAGAAGCATTCACCGAAACGGTCCAGTGGATTCAAACACAAGTTCTTCAAATACACCCAGACATATACATTCCATTCATTTTATGCCATAACCAATATATAGGAGCAGTGTGCATTCTAAATTTGATTGTGATTTACTCCTGTAGTCAGAGACAGCTTCACATATTACCCCTCGCTGATTGCTTTGCATTGTCTCTTGTTACAACATTTCCTTATGATTATATCTCACATTTCCATTTCCATTTATTTTTCCAAAGAAGCTTTTGATTCATCCCCACGATGCATATACAGTACAGTGTTACCTTGGTACTCAAGTGCTTTGAAACTCATCAAATTTGGTCCTCAACACATTTTGATGTGAAAGGTTTGTCCTGGTACTCATTGTTTGTTTAGTACTCAATGTATGAGTTAGAACTTGTCAGCTGCCTTGTGACTCTCTACATTATTCCTTACAGGAACAATGTGTTTCATACTCATCATTTTTGGTATTCATCACACCTCCTGGGACCAATTAACGACAAGTACTTACATTATTATAAAGTATACTTAATTTTTTTAGTTTAAAGTTTAAACTAATTCCCTGCTTATTCATGTTTTTTTCCTATTATTTCCTATTTCAGAAATCTTTCATATTTATTCCTTGTGAAGCATTTCTGCAGAACTAGCGCAATCAAGCAAATGAAGAGTAAATTAGGAAATCGGGACACAGGTTTAGACAGCCATAAAAGGCAATTAGAATAATTATCAGTGATCCAGAGTCAGGATGGCTATATGCTACTCAAAGGATCCGAAAATGCTTCTAACTTCCAGTCATTAGAGACTCAAGGAGAAAGTTCTAATGAATTGCTTATGGACTTCCCAAATGATTGGCTACTAGGGGATTAGATAGATGACACTAGAGTGTTTATTGATTTAAAACAAAAAAGTTGTATTTGAAAAATAATAAAAATAGGGAAAAGCATACAAGTCATGGTTTCTGGATCTCTTTCAGAGTCCCTTAATAAAAGCCACATTGTGGGCTGGATGCAGCCCATGGGTTTTGTGTTTGACACCCCTGGCGTAGATAAAGTAAAAGATGAGATGACTTTGAGTTCAGGGGCAGTCATTAATTGATAATCTATCATGGAACATAGTCTATTCAGCTAACCTCCCTTTGTCCCTGTCCTTCATTCTTCTTCTTGCTATCTAAGTTTATGCCTTTTCCAAGTGCATTTTTACCATAATATTAAATGAAAATATACCGTTCTATTGCACTTGGCTTACCTATTCCAAATTCTAATTAGGAATCTGCCTCCAAAATGCTATTTCCTTTTGATATAAAAATCATTCATTTAGAAAACTCCCGCTTATTATCACAGACCACAACAAGGTCATAATAATGGTTCAGTGATGGATCGCAACCGGTATAAAGCTTTTGACAAGCAGCTCATTCAGTTCAGCTGACATAACACTAAGTATATCTTGCCAAGAAAAATGAGCAAGAGGTTTTGTTTTGTTTTTTAGCAATCTTCTTCAAGGATATATATGCAAACACATTCTTACATATGTCTGCCAATAGACTTAGTGTACATGGATTGAGAACACAACTAGCGGAAATGAAAGCATGGAACTCCTTCGGTTAATCAAGAATGATCTTCAATTTTTATCATGGCAATAATGAGATTTGCTGCAATTAAGCAAAGGGATGGATTATTTTAATAAAGAATGTTTGTAAAATATAGTGACACATGAAGCCAGTTCAGGTTTTGGATATACAACAGTACCTATTCAGAAGTTTAGGATAATTCTAGCTTGTGGTTAATAGCCCAGTGAAGTGGCTAATAAGAGCAGGCCCAACAGCTACATCCTAGAGAAACTCAGTTGGGAGTTTCTCTA